ATGGAGAAGGACTTGAATATTTGAATAAAAATTAAACAATTACAAACAATTTTGAATGTTTTTTTTTATGTGCATCCCTAGTGTGGGCATCAAGGGCATAGAGCGTCCATTTAACTGGCCAAATATTACTGAACTGCAGAGCCTGAAAATGTTTCACTTGAAATATACAGCTTGTATTTTTTTACAGTCCACACATTTCTATATATATATGAAAATGAAACGGGTGTAAATGACCAACACAAAAGATTTCAATGCTAACCTTAAAGTTCACATGTATTGGTAGAATGTATTTGGCCACATGGTGTCTGATTTTACGCAGGAACTAAAAAGGTTAATATTGTGCTCATTGATTTATTTGCTTTTTATTTTTTTGATGAGACGAAATTTTAGGCGTACTCTGCAGCTTTAATTAATAGTAGCTTTATTGTAATGTTAAATAGGTTTTAACCTTGGCAACTTGATTTAATCTACTGGTAATTTGTCTGTCAAGCTAGATTAAATGTAAATTAATAAGTTTTCTTGAGAAAATGATTCCGTTTATCTCAGTTTCCTTATTTATCTGCTTTATAAAGAGGGTCAGCTTGTCTTCATTGACTTTTCTGCTCTTGGCGTTTGTGTGTCTGGATCTTCCCGGGCCGCGGCCCAGCACAGAAGCAGACGTCTGTTGCAAATGTAATTCACAGGAGGCCGTGGAACCATAATGCTATTACCACACACACTGACATAAATGAACACACATGCACAGCTGTGCTGCCGCCCACAGGCTTCTCTCTCTACCTTCTTCCTGTCCTTCGGTTACTCGTAAGTTCTTGTTGTGGTTTTATGAATATCATGGTGTTTTGGGGGCTCTTTTCTAGTTTAAACTTTCTGCTTGTTGCACGAGTATTGTGAGCGCTGTCATTTTTAAACTTCAGGAGTCTTAATTAAACCCACACAGTTAAGTTGAGGCGACAACGGGTAGAAGTTTGTGTTGGGATTTTGTCGTTTGAATAACAAAAGTAAAAGACCTAAATTCCCTTAAAGGAATGCATATTGCCTGCACATTTTATGCCAAAGTTTTAGACTAAGTTTATCTTAGAAATGATAAAGTTGTAGCCATTTTGGTCAAACCATTACAATCTTGTTATTGTGCGATGCCAAGCTCAGAGTATGTTATGAAGAACTCTCAGCTACTACCACATCAAATTTGACCTCTTGAGTTAGATATTTTCTTGGTAAAAACCAAGCAATTTGTGTTTTTCTCCCTTTTTTCTTCTAAATGTCAAATGGTGCTGGTGTTTAAAGTGATTCTGCTACAAAAGTAAAATAGGAACAGGATATAGGTGTTTCGTGTGACCAACTCAGGAAGTCAGGATGTGCTGAACATGTCCGTGTTACAGTCGCAGGAGGAGAAGCCTGCAGTTGGGGCCGATCCGTAGAGGTGGGGCCATTTTTCACACGAGGCTTCACAAGCCTGAACGCCCACGCTGAATTTCTCAGACTCTGTGAGTGACGGAGGGGAGGAGGGAAAGAGGCAAAAAGGAGAAAGGAAGTGCAGATAAATGCCTGGTGTTCGCACACTTTCAGAGAGAATCTAAAGAGCTGCTGACAATGAGTCTGTGTGGATGTTATCAAACTTAGTTTTTTTTTTTTTTTTTTACTATAAAAGGTTTCTAAAAGGAAAAATCTCTAAAAGGAAATCTTTAAAGGTTTTTCTCTGATGCCCATTATGGCAGTGAAGTTATCAATAGAAACAGCACACGTTAAAATATCACCAGTACAGAAAAAAGCTCTACAAAATGTGTATATTTACTTCCTAAGCTTTAAAGCCATACTAGTTTTTGTGTGTATTTAAGTAATTTGTTTACATTTGAACACTAATGAGTAAACCTCAGACAGTTTCAGTGTGCAACGACTATAGAGGGTGCATTCACACCAGCCCTGTTTAGTCTGCTTTAATCGAACTATAGTCCGTTCGCCTAGAAAGTCTGGTTCATTTGGGGAGGTGTGAATGCGCAATCGAACTCTGGTCTGCCTAAATACCTAGATCTCAGTTCGGTTGAAGTGAACTCTGGCACGGTTTGAATGCAGTGTGAATGCAAGCGGACCGGAGACCGCTCCAAAAGCAGGAAGTGGACTACAGCGCAGGGCATTCTGTGTAAATGCAACCAAAACAAAAGCACATTTCTCTTACCTCATACGACCGTCTCAGCCGCCTTGTGTGGAAAAACAACATTCTCCATAGTCTTCTGCCTCATCTTCTGCTCATGCTGAGTCCATTGTTGAAAAACGACAAAACAGAAATCCTAAAACTGCAAAAATTTGACGCCTCTCCGTTTTTGTTTTTATTTTGAGAAAAAGTGTCTTCTGCAGAGGTTTTTGTGTTGTTTTCTTCAGTAGTTCTTGGTGCAGCGCCACCACAGGTGAGGGGGGGAGCAGGTTGGCTCGATCGACTCAGTGCAGTGTGAATGTGAACCGCACCAGCTGAAAATGTAAACAAATGTTCTGAATTTTGGTCCCCAATCGAACCTATCAGGTGTGAACACGACCCGAGTCTGCAAAATAATATCAGGATGAAGGGATGTCAGATGGAGAACAGTTCTTCTCTCTTCTGAAAAGAAACTGCAACTAAAACTGTAAAGTCGAGAGTCCACAGAAGAACCGGTACCTGGAGTCATTTATGGGGAGGAAATCCAAGTGGGGGAGAGTTTTGAAAGGAAAAGTTGTGACTAAGATCATATGCCACTGAGCTGCTAAGATATTCAAATTCAGTTGTAAACAAAGTCAAGGAATGTTTACTGTTTTTCAACACAATTTACATAATAATTATTCCCAATCATTTGTGTAATAATGTAGAAATTGTTAGAAACAACAGCAAAAAAAATCTAATAAAAACATTGAGAATGTGTGTATTTTGACAGCTGATATGGCCTTAATAAGTGAAATGCTAAAGTTTTAAACAGTGTTGGGGATGATTCTCAGCTACTACCATGTCAGATTTTAGTTCAGTATCAGGACTGAAATAGACTTTTTTTGGGTGGGGGGGTGGGGGGTGAGTCTCATATTTTCCACCGTACACACAGGCCTGTCGCAATAAATCAATTAATTGCATGATAAATTAAAATTATTGACCTCATTTTCATTTATCGGCTTTATCGTTTCTTCGTGTCTCTTTCTTCTGAAGACACCGGATGACAAAAAGCTCAACTCCAGTGCTCTTCACTGACCCCTCCCTTTCTCTTTTCTCTTTAAGATCAATTTTAACAGTTCAAAATCTTGTTTTTGGATCGTTAAAGCAGCTAAGCTCAGAAGCTAAGCTAACAGGCCGACCCCGGGGAAAAAAACCTCCATCTTGTCAAAGCTCCAAAATTCATGGTTGAAACTTGTGCCTTCATGTAAAAAGTTGTTTTTCTCTGCAAAAAGAAGCTGATAACTTGTTTACTGATTAAAAAAAATAAAAAAAATAAGTATAAGTTAAAAACAATTATTTGTTTGTCTCGGTTGAACTTTTCCTTAATAAATGCACTTCAATGGTCAAATCCGCTGCATTTCACCTGGGCGGCGTGGCAAACAAATTTGACGTTTGCTCCAGGAGTTTTGGAACGAGACGAAGGTTAATTAATTAATTAATGAGACACTTGGCTTGCCATTTTACTCGAGGGCCTTCTAGTGGCTGAAAATGTTGTTGTTCAATATTTTCCATGTCGGAATGAATGAAATAATCAGATCTCAGCCAAAAATTGGGTTATAAATATAGGGGAAAAAACATAAATATGTTGCTTTGCTGTATAAGTTGCAGGGCATGCAAATTTATGCAAAAAGGTGCGACTTATATGGCGAAAAGTACGGTAGTACCGGTAATCGGATATTTTTTTATTTACCCTTCATATTCTCTATTCTCTTGATGTGATGTTTGATTCCCTTTTTGTTCAAAATAATTGCATTTGATATAATTGCAAAGTTGGTTATTTTATTTGAGTATATTTTACATCTCATTCTCTGGACTCTGCCTGTTTTTATGTTTGACATGATTTCCGGACGAAGCATCGATTCAAATTTGATTTTAACCTCCGAGGCCAGAAAGCAAAAAAGAATACCAAAGACCTTTAAAAACCTTTTCACAGCTCTCTGTGCTTAGTTAAAAATGCTGCAATTTACAACAGAAACATGTTTTAAGACCACTTTTGCTCTCTGAATTCTTCTAAAATGATGAACTTTCATACAGTCATCCATATTTGAATTTGTACGCTGATATTGTTTTCGTTGTGGTTTAACCAGGTGTTAAACATTTAAACTCTGGCTTTAGGTCATCCAGTTGTTCAGTGATGTTGCATCTTGGTTCACCTCTGCAGCAGAATTAGTCTATTTTTAGGAACAGATGTTGACTATTGCTATAAAACTCAGTTATGTGTGTAATAATGAATTAAAACATATATGTACATTTCTGAACTGATTAGAAATAAGACATGCTTGACTAAATAGTTCCTCCCTGCTGTCGTTAAGTCTATTTTTGACCACCATGTTTAAGGACAGCTAGCTAAACTTTGGCCTGCTGTCAGCCAAGACCTAATGTAATTGTTCTCTTTCCATTAACTGAATGTGTCTTCATCAGTGTCTGCCTTTATTAGATTTGGCCGCTCTAAACTTTATGCAGTGTCTCACGATGAAGAGGTCTGTGAGACTGTGGTTCTTTTTTGCTAATATGTCTAAATACAAGCATGACTTCTTTGGATGCATATTTCATGAACAAGCTTCTGATCTCGTTCATCTTGTTTAACCCAACCAAATAATTAATGTTTAGCCCTGAATCCATGTTTGATGCTGATTGGAGAGAAGTTCCTCTGATTCGGATCAACTGTGACGTTCATCACAGGCGGATCTGGTTCTGTTTCAAGTCGTCTCCTGTGTCCCATCAAATGAAAAAACATTCCCATTATCATAAGTTGTGTTTTTCTTCTCTGTATGGACTAACCTGTTCACAAAAAATTGTTATCTAACAGTTTTTGTCTCGTTTATTTTAGCGGTTACGGCGGCTATCGACAAAGTACCGGACAGAGAAAATCTACCCGACCAACATAGGAGAGCGGGAGGAGAACGTCAAGAAGAACAGATATAAAGATATACTGCCATGTAAGTTCTGGTTCACTGCCTCTTCAGCGCTTTGAGTCTTGTCGTTAAGCAGTTTAAATTTAAGCCATATGTCTTTAGATAAGAAACACGAACATTTTGCACTGGTCCTGATTCATAGCATTGATTTAATGTATGGTTTTATGCAACCTTGCATCCTGCTTGTGAAGCAGCTTTCCAGAGTTTATCTGCTCATCTTTCCTGTTCTTACCTTTTGGACACATATGACCCAACATCTGTCCTACTTTTTAATGTTTATCCTCTGTTTCCATCCATCCATTCATTTATTAATGCTTTTAGTGAATGAGCTGATGAGGCAAAGGAAGGACTGGTTTATCCTTAACAGATGGACTCAAAAACACATAGAAACACCACAACAAATCTAGATAATCTTTCTCCATTTACCTTTATGCATTAAACAGCTTTCATTTTAATTTTGTCTTTGTCTTGTGCATTAAGATTAAATAAAAGTATTAAAGCATTTGTGTTTGTTGTTGTCCTCAGTTGACCACACTAGAGTAAAACTGACATTAAAAACAACCAATCAGGACACAGATTACATCAACGCAAGCTTTATCAAGGTAACAACTGATGCTGCTTCTGTTTTATTCCTTTTTGTAAAAATAAATGTTCAAACTGAAGTGTTTTGTTTACATTAATTCATTGTGTATTTATAATTCTGTTTAATTCATATGGCTGTTCAGGGTGTGGACAGTCCAAATGCCTACATTGCAACTCAGGGCCCGCTGCCGAACACAGTCATCGACTTCTGGAGAATGAACTGGGAGCACAACATAGCTGTGAGTCCAAGTCCATGTAGGAGAGACCGTTTGATTGATCAGTTTTTTTCAAACTTTATACTTAAAATATGGGGGAAATTACATATACAGTACATTCATATATAATGATTCAGTCAAAAACACAAAATAAACATTATTTCAGGAATAGTATCCGGTGTCTGAAAGGGAGTAAGGAAAAGTATAAACTTATGTGATCCTACCTCTTTTTGTTCAAATATGTACAATTCTTTAATAGTTGTATTTGGAAGTATGCCAGAACTTTTTTTTACAGACACATCTATCTAAATATGTCTACAGCAGCACATAAGCAAATCTATTTACATTTACCCACAAATGCCCACATTCCCCTATAATTATTATTTATAAGGGATGTTTTTTAAACACACCAATAACTTCACAAGCTTGGTCCAACATGTAAAAACAGTACAACTTTAATTTGTTCAGTCAGTGCAATTATGAGTCTAACATCCAATGTAAAATATAATCTAAAGATAAAAAGAAGATCTAAAATCTAATAATAAAGATACTGAAACTGACAAAAACAATAGGTTGACGACTTTGGTCAAACATAAAAAAATAAACTTCAACAAACCTTTCAAATGGTTCAGGATATCTAAATCTAATGTAAAATAAATAATAAAGGAGCTGAAATAAGAGGAAAAAACTAGCTTGGTTGCCAGATATTAAAATAAACAGCAATCAGCTCCTGTCCTTATGGATTAGTCACATTGTCACAGATACCTGAGCAAAATTTTTTCCCCCGATATAGATACTAATATCAGATCCATGCATGTCTACTATTAATAGCCAACTACTGTGACAATACGTCTGTTTTTTGGTGTATAATTTGATTTTTTTTTTTTTTGCTGTTATGTGACCCCTGAGAAAAATATAACACAGATGGGTGGTAGTATGGCAAAATCACATTGTTTAACGGGAACATAGTGAGCAGCTCCAGCTGTTTCTGCTAACAAAATTTGTTTTGTTGTAATATTTATAATAGTAGTAGGCAGATTTAAAGTAATATTAATCTAATTTTTACCTACAAGAAAAACTTTTCTGTATATGTATGTGCTCAAGTTTTTTGAAATGCCCTGGTTTAAAGGTACTTCTGGGTACTTGGAAATAAACTCAACTGTATTTTTAGGAAACGCAGCTCTGAGCGTGTGTCTATTGATTGTAATCGGTCCTGTTTGTGTCTCTGCAGGTTATTGTGATGGCTTGTCGAGAATTTGAGATGGGAAGGGTAAGGCTGTTTCTTGTGTCAATCGATGTAAAGTGTTTGCACGTTTGTCTTTTCTAAAATTTCCATCAAGGCTGCAGCACACTTTAGTATCTTCTAAAATATGTTTTTTTTTTCCAAGGCTTCATAGTTATGTTGAGGTTTGTTTTTCCTTGAAGATGGTATTTCTGGCATTTCTTTTTGTTTTATCTTTTAGGCTTTCTTCTCTGTGCTTGAATGCATTTGTAAATGCAATATCATTAGCAGTTTCCAAAGCCTTGAGCCAATTTCAATTGATCGTTTACTGGAGTTCAAATGAAGCATGACTAAATAGCTTGTAATACTCATGAATCTGTTTTACTCAAGTTTGTACAAACCCTGGCAAAAGTAGGAAATTATGTTTATTCAGCTGCCTTATTTTTGTTCAATATACTGATTTTAAGTGCTGTGAGATACTAATTATTCATTGCACAAAAACTACATTTTAAGATGTTTTTAATTCGCTTTATCAGCCACTGATTCAATCAGCCTTCATCATAATATGGAGCTCAGACATTTCAGGTTCTGCTCTAGACCGGTCTGACAGAAGCTCCTCCGCAAGTCTCAGAGAATCCGTTTCTTCTTCAGCCCCTTTTTCATGTGGAGTTCCCTAAGACTGTTCTTTGGCCAATAGGGAAGATCAAATTTGTAAACGGAAGCGCTCATTTTCGCACACACAGTATGCAGGATGTAGAAGGCAAACGGTCAACAGTGAACGAGATGCTAAAGAACAGAATCGACCCATTGTTATCTGATGTATAATTGCCAGAATATGCTATGAAGCTTATTCCTGAGGCCAGACAGCAATGTGTGGTGAAACTACTTTATAATTTAAGATGATAAGAGTCACTGGAAGGCTACAAGCTACTAGAAATATAATATAGCAAAGTATAAAATATCATCATAATTTCACATCTCTCCTGTCCCCCCCCCCCACACACACACACACACACACACACACACTTACATAGTTGGGAAATCACAATTTCCTGTAAGTTAGTCAGATTGATAATACAGTCAAATAAATTCAACAGGCTAATTTCCTGTTGTTCCCTGCTCTTCCCGAGCAAAACCAAGAGGTTACACTTTCAGAAACCTCTTTCTTTTTTCAGTATCTGTTCAGGTCAGTTTGTATCAAGGATAACACGAGATGTGCATGCATATAGGAGACAAATCACAGAATTTCATTCACCTGCAAATGAAAAAAAAAAACAGATTTATCTGATAGGAAATGAACGCCACAGGCACAATCTTCAGTATTCAGAATCCAGCCCTTTCTGTTGATTGCAAGAACCTCTTATTTCCTCCATCTGGGTTGTTTTTCTTTGGTCTACGATGCCAGGAAATTCTACTCCCCCTTTCCCATCAACTTGTGCATCCAGTCACAACACAGGCGATTGTGATGACACGGTGTTATTCTCTTTATTTTCCTTTATGTGCTCCCCATAGGTTAATTCTTATGCAGACGACACTCTAATTTACCTGAAGTTGAAGTGTAAAATTTTTTTTTTTTACACCGCTATGTAAAAGTCTCCTATAAACCTGGCCTACATCTGAAGTTGATCCACAACGCTGCAGCACACCTTTTAACACAATTAAGCTTCAACATACTGGTATTTCTCTTGTACTGGATTCCCTTTATTGACTTTTTGTTCAATTTAGGGTTGATAAAAAAAATGTTTACTATTGACATATAAAGCACTTAAAAAACAGGTTCTGCATCCTGATGTGCCCTTTCGATCTGACAATCGTTTAGTCAGTTGTTGCTCCTAAACTATGATACAACCTGCCTATACACATCAGACCGGCTCCATCTCTCAATATTTTTCAATATCAGCTTAAAACACATTTGTACTCATTGGTTTTTAAACCGTAACCCATGTTTTTATTGTTTTTCTAATTAGTTTTACAACCCAAATTCCAAAAATGTTGGTATGTTGTGTAAAATATAAATAAAAACAGAATGCAGTGATAGGTAAATCTTATAAAGTCGTGTTTTATTCACTAGCTGATATGTTTTTATAGTCACTTGTGCTTTGTTGATGGTTCCTTATTATATTATGTACAGTGAACCCTCGTTTTTCACTGGGGTTAGGTTCCAAAAAGAACCCGTGATAGGCGAAATCCGTGAAGTAGTAACCTTTATTTTTTTTACAATTATTATACAGTGAAATACTCTATAATACAAACCAAAGAACAAAACCTTTTTACAGGCCCAAGCATTTGTTTAACAAATAAAAGTACTGTATAAACGTTTTTTACAAATAACTACAGTAACTACTGAGACTGTTTAGCCAATCAGAATGCAGAACACAATGCACGAGGCAAGTCCGTGAAGCAGCGAGACCGTGAAAGGTGAACCGCGTTATAGCGAGGGTTCACTGTATATCACTTTGGTCAGTGGCATGTGCTTTATAATCATACTAGAACTAGAGAAATTGCATTTTCTGCAAAAATGCAGTGTGAATGCTTATTGTAGAACTTGCTGACAAACAGCTGAAATTAGATTAATAAAGCAGCTGAAACATAGCTGAAGCATAAATCAGCAGGAGAAAGCAGAAAGAACACAAAAGTATGAATGAATGAATGAATGAATGCAAAAAAATATGGAATTAGCTGAAAAAGCTAATATTAGCATAAAAACAACAAAATAGTAGCTGAAAAAACTGAAACTAGCAGAAAAAGCTGAAAGGAGCATAACGAGTTGAAACTAGCAGAAATAATTTAATAAGCTGAAAGTAGCAGAAATGACCATGAAAAACTTGAAGTGATATAAAAACAGCTGAAATTAGCTAAAATATGCTCAAAAGCGGGCAACACGGTGCTGCAACTGGTAGAGCTGCTGCCTCTCAGCGAGAAGGTTGCCGGTTCAAACCCCAGTCCGGGGGCCTTCCTGGGTGGAGTTTGCATGTTCTCTCCGTGCATGTGTAGTGAACTTGACCTGATGTCAAAACTTGACCTTAGGATCATATGGTCAGAAACTGTCATTTCATTGATTTGCATCCAGAAATACAGGTTGACCCATCCTGAGACTTTCTTTCTTGAATTAATCAAGTGGAAAAAGACAATTCTCTATGATCATTACTATTTTAAAAATGTTTTGATAATCAAATTGTGTTAGTTCAAACAATGTTTACATGTTGAAGTGAACTACTCATTTTTATTTACTTAAAACAGTAATAATGATTTTTAATCCTCATTTCAAAGTGAAATCAAGTTAGAGTACGTTACAGAGTAATGATTCAATTTCTTGATCGTCTGCTTTGAAGTGAACAAGTTTTGTAAGTGTGTCGAAGTTCAAGTTTCGGTCAACTGAAAGTTTACTGAAAAGAAATGTCATGTTTAACTTTTACAGCAAGATACTTGGTGAGTGACTCCACGAAGTCTGGTTTTCTCCATGAAATCTTTCTGTCTGTTCTTAAACAATCTTACTCTTTTCCTTGACTTTTAATAACACCTTACATCACAAACCACACCTCTGCTTTGGTCCATCGACCAATCAAAAAGCTCTCAAATGAACCGGAAGTAGAGCCCATTTAAATGTTGGCACTTCCTAGTTCAACGAGAAGAGTTCAGCTCAGAGAGTTCAGCTCAGTCTTGAAGCTGCTGTAAGCTTAGTCTTGAAGATGGAGTAGCAGTTCAAGCAGAGAGTTTGGGAGTTCCAGAATGCAGAACGCTGGAATTCAGGATGCTGCTGAATTAGAATCAAGCTGATCCAGAGACGATTTTGGGAATTATAACTTCTGTTTGGATAACCTCACACGACTCTCGAGGTTCGAGCTGTTCTCACGGAGACGCTGAAAGAGTTGAAAGGAGAGCTCTACACCAACGCTGAACTATCGTCTGCAAGGTAAAAAGTTCTATTCTCAACCAAGCGTACCGTTGGCCCAAGCTGGAAAAGAAGGAGCGTGTCGGTTCTGGTTAAGACAGACAAATTCCCTCACACATCTCTCTGTAGATAAACCTCATCTTTCCATCTTTAAACTCTCCTATCTGCTAGCAAATTAATCCAGATGTTTTCAGAAATGTCTGTGGTGAAGCAACGGAAAATCATGGCCGTATGGTTTTCCTGGTTGTAAAGCTGATTAATTATGTCGTTATTTTTCAATTCTTGCCAATTAATGTAAATGTGTGATGTGTTAAACTTGATTCTGTTAATAAATGACCCACTCGTTTGGTGAGTCAAAGATAATTAACGTCTCACGTCCACATTTTATTACATTCAACGCACGTTGATATACAGTCCAGAAAAATGAAAGAACCCGTTTTAACAGTATGAATATATCTCAGGATATGTCACACTACACATGCGTGGGTTTTCTCCGGGTGCTCCGGTTTCCTCCCAGAGACCAATAACGTGCATGTTAGACTGATTGGTAACTCTAAATTGTCCCCAAGTGTGAGTGAGAGAGTGAATGGTTGTTTGTCTCGTTTGTCTCTATGTGTCCTTGTGATGGACTTGCGACCTGTCCAGGGTGTACCCCACCCCTCGCACAGTGATTGCTGGACATGGGCACCGACGACCCCCGTGACCTAAAATGGAAGAAGCGGGTAAAATCAACCAAAAAAATAAAAGATAATGGATGGAGCTAGCTGAAAAAGTAGAACAAGCTTAAATTAGCGTAAGAAAGCAGAAAGAACATGTTTGCCCAATTAGGCTGAAAAATGCAGAAATTAGCACAAAAAACACCAATCTAAGTTACCTGGAAAAAAGCTGAAATTAGCAAAAACCCAGCTTAAATGTAGCTAAAACAAATCAGAAAGAAGCTTAAATTACCAGAAGGAAGTGGAGAGAGCACATTTATGCTGAATTGGGCTGAAAAAAGTTGAAATGAGTGAAACAAAAGTGGAATTAGCTGAAAAAGATGAAATTAGCAGAAAAACAACTAAATAGTAGCTGAAATAACTGAAACTAGCAGAAAAAGCTGAAATGTCGCATAACGAGTTGAAATTAGCAGAAACAATTTAATTAGGCTGATAGTAGCAGAAATTTCCATGAAAAACTTGAATTTATCAGAAAACAGCTGAAATTAGCTAAATATGCTCAAAAGCTAGCAGAAAAGGTAGAACAAGTTGAAATTAGCAGAAGAAAGCAGACAGAACATGTTTGCCCAGTTAGGCTGAAAGAAGCAGAAATGAGCACAACAAAATCTAAATTACCTGGAAAAAAACTGAAATTAGCATAAAACCAGATGAAAATTAGCTAAAAAATCAGAAAGAAGCTTAAATTACCAGAAGGAAGTGGAGAGAGCACATTTCTATTTCTGCTGAATTAGGCTGAAAAAAGTTAAAATGATCGCAACAAAAGTGGAATTAGCATAAAAACAGCTCAATAGTAGCTGAAATAGCAGAAAAAGCTGAAACTCGCAGAAATAAGCTGAAATTAGCAGAGAGAAGTTAGACGAAGCAAACAAATGTTGTAGCTAGCATAAAACAGCTGAAAAAACAGCTGAAATGATCTGAAAGTAGCTGAATTTTTTTTAAATAGTTTGCACAAAGAAGCTGAAAGAAGCTGAACCAGACCAAAATGTGAAAGGATCAGTAAAAAATTGTAAACAGATCTAAAGAGTTGAAGGATTTAATTTTCTATGAGAGAAGAAGTGGCAGAAAAGGCTAAATATTTCAAAAAGCTAAAGTTGCACCAATACCAAAAGTCATAGCACCCTTCTCCCAAATGAGCTGAACGTTTTGATTTATGTGAACTAAATAAATAAATATGTTCACACTTTATTTATAACAGATTTAGGACATGATTATTTGAACAGCTGAACATTTTTTTTTTTTTTTGGTAATTTGTTTATTTTTTCAGATCAAGTAGACGAAAAGAAAAACCATCATGTGCAAATTAGTCTGCGAATTTAAAAAAGCTGTTGCACCTGTGCTCCCATCAAGAGAGCTGTCGGTTTAAATGACAGAATAGGTTTTATTTTTCAAGTGTGTAATTTTGTACAAAGTAAGACGAAACATGTTTGTCCTTGCCTGTCAGACACATCAGAATTCAATGGTTGCAAAAAATTATCTTTTAAAATAAAAATTTGATTTTTTTTAAATGAAATTGTTTTATGATTTCTCCTTAACCTTTTTTTTTTTTTTTCAATTTACCGACCAGCTTGTGTGTGTTTTAATTCTGCATTTCACACAAATTGTGTGTTTCAGACCATGAAGTCTGTGTATCAGAGCTGCTGTAACGTTAACTTCTGTTCTCTGCTTAGAAAAAGTGTGAGCGGTATTTTCCAAGGCAAGGCGAGGAGCCCCTGACTTTCGGCCCTTTCAGGATCTCTTGTGTGAGTTTTCATTGTATTTTAATTTATTTATTGTGATGGCCGTTGGAGTCAAAATTTGTTTCTTCTCTTTGTCATTTAGGAATCTGAACAGACCAGAACAGACTATTCTATAAGGACTTTGATCGTGCAGTATAACAATGTGAGTTCTGTTTTTTTAGCCAGTTTATTGTTGCAAAATAATCATTTAACCTGATGTTTTCTGTGAGTTTATTTTAAAATGCCGTAAAACACTACTGAAGCAAAGCAAGCTGTGATATGAAACAGCATTTTGAGGTTTGCTTGTTCACTTTAGATCAGTTTTCAGCGTTTCTGCTTCCCTGCAGGAGACCCGGAGGATAACTCAGTTCCATTACATCTACTGGCCTGATCACGACGTCCCTTCATCATTCGACTCCATCCTAGATATGATCGGACTAATGAGAGAATACCAAAAGAACGACGACGTCCCCATTTGTGTTCACTGCAGGTAGGCACATATACACTAGTTTGGCGACTGGACACATTAGCCTTTTGAGTCATTTAGCTTTAGTCCTGTTAAGGTTGATATTTTCTGTTTCATTTTAGCTAATCTACCTGTCCCTTTTAAAAGTTTGGACCTGTAAATCATTAAATTCAAATCAAAATTTGGATCATGTGCAGTCCACCTCACCCATTTCCAGTCCTTACAGACCGTAGCTGTGGTCAGGAACAGTCGTTTTACTGCTCAACAAAAATCTGCACGATTTATTTTACATTTCAACAATTTCAGTGGAAAACTGATATCCTAATCAAACTGACAGGATATGGTTTATAAAAATGGTAAAGGAAAAATTTGTTCCAATAAAAAATACTTTTCATCCTAAAAGCAGCCACGTAACTAAAGAACTAAGTGGAAAAAAAAAAATGTCACCCTAAAGTTGCATTAAACAACTTATTATTATAAGATTTATTCTTCTTCTGCTGCCTTTCATTTTATTTTTGATTGTATATATATATTTTTTTGTTTGTTTTCTATTGTATATAGTTATTTTGTTTTTAATGAAATGAATACATTTCTAAAAAAAAAAAAAAAAAACTCTAAATAACTTCCTAATGGCTCAGAAAATAAAATATGACCCAGAAACAAACAACAGCTTTGCCCTGTGTTTTCGTACACTTCTTGAGCCTACTTTATAAGATAATGAACAGATAGGTTTAAGTTTATTGTCATATGCAGATCAACACAAGGTGCAATGAAATGCTCAGGACGAGAAGAACCGTCTCGACTCGCCCAAAAAAACAAGAAATACCAAAGCATGCAACAAAAATACAGAAACAAGGTGTCAGAAGTGGAAAAGAAATACTGTACATCTACAGCAGCATGCTCTTATTAGCAGTTTGATTCTGTTGGCAGTGAGGTTCTTTTAGCAATATGGTCCCGTTAGCAGCATGGCACTGTTAGCAGTGCTGTTCTGTTAGCAGTGAGGTTCTCTTAGCAGCAATGTCCCGTTAGCAGTGTGGTTCTGTTAACAGTGTGGTTCTGTTAGTAGTGAGGTTCTTTTAGCAGCATGGTTCTTTTAGCAGTGAGGTTCTCTTAGCAATATGGTCCCATTAGCATCACAGTTCTTTTAGCAGCATGGTACTGTTAGCAGTGTGGTTCCGTTAGCAGTGTGGTTCTGTTAGCAGTGAGTTTCTTTGAGCAGTGAGTTTCTTTTAGCAGTGAGGTTCTCTTAGCAACATGGTCTCTTTCGCAGCATGGTACTGTTAGCTGCATGGTACTGGTTAGCTGTTAGCAGTGCAGTTCTGTTAGCAGTGAGGTTCTCTTAGCAACATGGTCCCGTTAACGGCATGGTACAGTTAGCAATGTGATTCTGTTAGCAGTGCAGTTCTGTTAGCAGCATGGTACTGTTAGCAGTGAGGTTCTCTTAGCAACATGGTCCCATTAGCATCACAGTTCTTTTAGCAGCATGGTACTGTTAGCAGCATAGTACTGTTAGCGGTGTGGTTCTGTTAGCAGTGTGGTCCCGTTAGCAGCATGATGATAATAATGAGCGCGGTAACAGACGATAACGGCCCTCCAGAACTGGGTCCGGCAGACACAGAACTTCCAAGGTCTTCCCCGCGGAACTGAACTGTTCCGTGGAGTTTGGCCCGTGCAGGCAGATGAAGGATCATGGAGACGGCCATTATGACGGGCCTGAGCCCGAGGCTGGAACGGGGCTGGGAACTGAACCATGATGGCAGGATGGCAAGGCAGCGACACAGAAAACTCCAAAAGTACATCGCGGTCATACCCGTAGCGTGGGTGTGCAGTGTAGGCTCAAAAAAAAAGTTAAAACAAAATCAACAGGAACAAAAAGGAGCGTGTCAAAGCGGAGCTCCTGTCATTGCTGCCATACTGCGGTGCACGTGACGTCACAATTAGCTGTTTACCAACAACACTTGTTTAATTTGTGTTACCTTAGTGAAATGATGCTGCAGTTTCCTCTCGTGCCTTTCAGAGTTGACGTCTTTTTAGCTTTACACCATGAGGCCTTGTATACAGAGTTTTGATGCTATGGTTTAGGCACATGGAAAGTTGCTTATTTAAATGTCATTTGTCATTACAGCATTAAAGTTAATAAAGCCACATCAAGTAAAGATTCTTAGCTGAATCAACAAGAACGGTCTGTGGTGACACTTTTCCTCCATGTGTTGTTGCTCATTAAGAAAAAAAAAATTTCCTCCAGGTTCTTTCAAAAATATTGTGTGAAGTGACAATAAGGACGTCATGTTTGAAGTTGACCACATGTCCATGTAGCTGTTAATATCAGCCCAGAGCTGCACAGAAATGGTTAAAAATTAAGAAATATTTAGGAATACCACTGGTTTAGGTTTACCTTGCGAACAACAAAACTTAAATGCACCCGTGCGTATGTGCGTTGTGTGCTGCACACATGCATGTGTTCACTCACAACACACACAGACTTTTCTCCGTGTGTGTGCAATAAGCTATAATGAGCAGCCCGAGGACATTTCCTGGTTCCTCTGTTCCACAGCAGGACTCAAAGCCACGTCCTCGTATCTATGGAGATGCTTTGTGTGGGTTGAGGCAGAGAAACGGCGTTCTTTAGATGTCACGTAACGCTTTCTGCCAGCGTGAGCTCGAGGTTTATGATTATATGTGTCAGGCGTGATCAACTTCAGTAGCTGCTGTCTGTTTCCCGTCTAAATGAGGTGTTGTTTTGTTCCAACGTACCTGCGCGTTTTGTACGTTCTCCCCTTTGTTGCCTTAATGCCATTTAAAAATAAAATCAGAAATGGTTATTTGTGATTTTTTTTTTCACAGCTTTCTGATGAAATCTTAAAATGTCTCATGTTTTCTTTACTCTGTGACTGTGCAGCGCTGGCTGTGGGAGGACGGGTGCTATTTGTGCTATTGACTACACATGGAACCTCCTGAAAGCTGGGGTAAACAACACTCACAAACCTTATTGCAACCTCTAAATTCTCCTAGATAAACCTTAACTCCAAATCCAACGTCTGTTCAACTTTTTCTGCACGTTTAAAGAGAATTCCAGAAGATTTTAATGTTTACCAGTTGATCCAAGAGATGAGGACGCAGCGGCACTCTGCTGTTCAAACAAAGGTTGGTTCTTGTTTCATTAAGTCTTTTTTTCACAACTTACATGTACTTATTATTATTTGTTTATACAAGTTGAGATACTTGAATATAGTACAAAGAAATGTTAAGTGGTTGCTTTTGCAGATTGTACACTATAAACATCAAATTTTATTGATTCTGCTTTAAAAGTATTACATTTTAACAAATTTTAAAAGTCAAGCATTGATTGAAAGAACGTTTCTATGTTAATCATTAATGGCACTGATGTGCTGCTTTTTCATTACTTTAAATTATTCAGTATTCTTAAAACTGATAACTTTCTTCTAACAACCGACATTTTCATCTTTCAGCAGCCTATCACAGGTTTACAGTAGTCCCTCGTTTATTGCGGCGGTTACGGTCCAGACACCCCCCGGCAATAAGTGGAAAAACAGCAAAGTAGAATCGACATAGATTTCTCAGTTGAAACAACAAAACAGTTCAGTCATCTAACAAATTTAAATCGACTACCGTATTTTCCGCTGTACGTCGCATCGCCCTATAAGTTGCATCAGTCCAAATATGTTTATTAAAGTGGAAAAAAACATAAATAAGTCTCTTCGCCGTATAAGTCACATCTATTATGCGTCACCAGTGACAACCTGGAAATATGGTCCGGTGTTGTGCCAACAATCGATTGGCTGCCAAATGGTGGCCGCGGGAGCGTGCACGGGAGGACTTTAACAAGAATTTAACAAGATTAACACTTAATAACAATTATTTGTTTGCTCGAAATTATAGCAAAGATGTGTCTCAGGCTAACTTTTCCTTAATAAATGCACTTTGGCGGCCAAATCAGCTGCATTTCAAAAGTATTCGCTGCCTCGGTGCTCCGGGAGCACGCAGAGGGAGGAAATCAGGAAGGAGGAACGCTGCGCATTTTTTTGAAATTTAGCTAGATAAATACCTAAAACAATTATTTGTTTGCTCGACTTTATAGCAAAGGTGTGTCTCAGTTGAACTTGTACTTAATAAATGCACTTCAATGGTAAAATTTGCTGCATTTTGCCAGGGCGGCGCAGCAAAATGAAGCTGATCTGACGGTTGCCCCGAAGCTGGACGTAGGTAGCAGATTATGGCAAGCCAATTGTGTCATTAATAGCCACTTTTACCTATTACATGACACAACGGCATGCCATACTACTTGAGTGCCATCTAGCGGCTGAAAAAGGTAGTGATCAATATTTTCAATGTCAGAATGAATGAAAACGGTCATATTTCAGCCAAAAATTGGTTTAAAAATATGGGGGGGGGGGACATAAATAAGTTGCTTCAGTGTATAAGTCACAGGGCATGCAAATTATGCAAAAAACTGCGACTTGTAGGCCGAAAAGTACGGTAAACTAAAGCAAAAATTTATTTAGCAAGATAATTAATTTGATAGTTTATTCCCTCAGCTTAAAACTTTTAAGTTGAGTGAGTAGTAATGCCTTTTTACCAGCTCTGCAGAAACAGCTGGTCGGTCGGCTCATGCTCGGTTTCCGGTTCTGCAGATCTACCCTGCAGCGGCGAAGTCCATAATGTTCTAAACTCTTAAACCTAAAAAATTTTGTGTCGTATGCAATTTTTTTTTTCTTCTCGTGTACAATGTTACTTTGAAAAACTTCAAAAGAGTGACTCCACAAAAGTCAAACCGCGAAGTAGCGAGGGACTGCTGTACATTGTGACATAAATGCTTGGAAACAATTTTCCTGCTTTACACACAATTTTTTTTAAATTTTATTAATTAAAAGAGCTTTTCAACAAATTTGTTAGGTGCGTTTGTATGCAAAGTTTCCTACTGTGAACATCTGATAGTCAGGTGAACTAATTTACATTTACAAGTTTATACAGAACCCCGAATAAAAATAAAGGTCTGACTCCTTGTGTCTGTGTGTTTTTGTCTAGGAGCAGTACGAGTTGGTTCACAAAGCAATCGCTCAGCTCTTTGAGAAACAGCTGCAGATACTGGAGAGTCCCACCAACTCACAGATACACGATGGCATGGTAAGACACACTCGTTGTACATTTTGTTAATTGTTAAAGAAAGGCAGGATGCCACTGAGTAACACTTGAAGGAAAATATACTAATTAGTCACCGGGGGATAGAGGACAGCCGAAAATGAGGAGAGTCAGCTTTATGGAATCTCAGAAGAGCTCAGATCTGTTGAACATGTTTAAAGAGCTTGAGAAGAAAATAAATACTCTTCTCTGTCAATCACTGCCAACTTCATCCTAGTTTGCTTTACTTGTTCCTTTATTTCTCTAAAACTTGCACACACGCAAATATTTTTTTCTCTCCTGGAAGTCCAGCCGAGTCAACGAGTTCAATTCCTGAACTAAAACTAATCACAAAGAAAACAAAAACCTCCAAATACCAAAATATAACCCCGCTGGTACTTAAAGTCTCCTTTTAAGGACACTTTAGGAGATGACACCAGGTCCTGAGGTATTTATAAAATGCCTGTGACAAGCCTTGGTAAAAAATACCGCAGGATTACAGTTCGATTGCAACCTTCAGCATGTTTACAGCCTTGGTCATACCAAGTAGACAAAGTACGAAGAAAGGTTGACTTCACTTCCCCCTTTCTTTCTTCTAATATCAGTGGTAAAGCTTTAACACATCCACACACGTAAAACAGGTGTAACTTGGACAGTAACTCTTGAAGTACATTATTACTGAATTTGAACATGTAGTGAGTCGTATTGTCAGCTGTGTGTTTTACTGGTCCAGGTTGTTCAACATCACACCACAGACTGGAATGATGAAGTAACAGAACGACCTGTCAGCAAGAGATCAACATGCCAAAGTCTTGTCACCAGCTCTGTAAACACATTTGGCTTTACCGTTAGTCCATGTAGTTAGTTTTTATTGACGACAAAAAAAACAAAATTAATAACCATCATTTTCAAGGTTATTTTTCCCCAATATTTTGTTTGGTTGAAGTCAAAGTTCATGCTCAATAATCCAGGTAAAAAAATCCAACAGTTCAGTCAGGTCATCTGGATGGTTTCTTTTTTCTTTTTTTTTTTTTGTTGAGACATTTTGCCCTTCACCCAAACAACTTCATCAGTCCGAGGAGCCACAAACAAACTGTCTCACAAGCAGCACACTCCCATAGTGGACTCTTCGGACTGATGAAGTCTTTTGGATGAAGGACGAAACGTCTCAACAACAACAACAAAAAAGAAACCATCAGCCCCAGAAACCATCCTTTTAATTTTTTAAAAATTTTACCCTTTATTTGTACAGGAAGTCTCACTGAGCCACGAGAACGCATTTTCAAGAAAGACCTGTTTTGGTGGGGGTTAAGAGCCTTGCTCCAGGGCCCAGAGTGGGGCAAATGTGAGGCAGGTGTGGGTGTTTCATCCATCACACTGGTTGATCTACTATGGGGAGTGTGGTGCTTGTGGGATTGAGTTTGTTTGTGTTTCCTCGGACTGATGAAGTTCTTTGGAAGAAGTACGAAACATCTAAACAAAAACAAAGAAACCATCCAGATGACCTGACTGAACTATGCTGGATTTTTCACCTAGATTATTGAGCATGTTCTTTTCAGCTTATTTCTGCAAGTTTCAAGTTTTTATGGAATTTCAACTGCTTTTTAGCTGTTTGTTTTTTTGTTGTTGCTAATTTCAGCTTTTTTTCCAGATAATTGTCACTTTTTTGTGCTCATTTTTGCTTCTTTTAGCTGTTTTCAGATAAATTCAAGTTTTTCCATAGTAATTTCTGCTACTTACAGCCTAATTATATTCTAATTTCAACTATTTAAGCCCATTTCAGCTTTTTCTGCTAGTTTCAGATTTTTCTGCCATTTCAGCTACTATTTAACTGTTTTTGTGCAGAGTTTAGGGTTTTTCAGCTAATTCCACATTGAGCTCTTTTCAGCTCTTTCTACTTCCTTCTGGTAGTTTAAGTTTCTTTCTACCTTTTCAGCTCCTTTCTTTGCTCATTTCAGCTTTTTTTTTTAGCTAATTTCCTAGTTTTTGTTTGCATTTCTGTGTGTTTCAGCTGTTTTCAGATAAATTAAAGTTTTTCATTGTAATTTCTGATACTTACAGCCTAATTAACTTATTTATGCTAATTTCAACTCTGTATGCTCCTTTCAGCTTTTTCTGCCATTTCAGCTACTATTTAGCTGTTTTTGTGCTGAGTTTAAGTTTTTCAGCCAGTTCCACATTGTTTGAGCTAATTTCAGCTCTTTTCACTTCCTTCTGGTAGTTTAAGTTTCTTTCTGCCTTTTCAGCAATTTTTCAGCCCTTTTCTTTTTCTAATTTCAGCTTTTTTTAAGCTAATTTCCTAGTTTTTGTGCTCATTTCTGCTTACTTAAACCTAATTAAGCAAATATGTGTTCTTTCTGCCTTCTTCTGCTAACTTAGGCTTGTTCTGCTGTTTCAGCTACTTTTCAGCATGGTTTTAGCTATTTTTTTTAGCAAGTTCTTGAGCAATATGCATTCACACTGTATTTAGCAGGAAATGCAATTTCTCTAGTTAATCTAAAACTGCAGCTCTGCTTGCCTGGCCAGTACTGCACCACATGTGTATGTCTTGCAGACATGAAGACAGTGTAAGGACGATCAGTATGTCTAAAGACAGATGGTCCAGATGAGAGAATTCACTGGCAGCAGACCAGCCGACTTCCTACTCAGGAAGCTCTGATGATGTCACCCCTTCACCAGAATACACTCCGAGAACAAACGGGCACGAGCCGGGAAAAGAGAATTTTTGCAAGACACAATCAATCTGTTTTCACGCTAGAAACTGCTCCACTGAGACTCTAAAGTTTCTGTTTCCAACACCTGGACAGAAACTTATCTTAAAGTTTGTGTCATTAAACATTCGTTAAAAAGGCCATGAGAGCAACTCAAGTTGGATCGTTTTTGCTGATTATTTATAACTGTAGTTACCTCACGATGTTGCAAGTTACACGCAGCTTATCATTATCAGGGAGCTGTTCTGACTCAGTCCATACAAACATTGACTCATGTCCAGTCAGCCATTGTTAGCAACTATAACACCCACATAGGTGCTTCTAATGGCAGTACGAACAATAAACCTACATACACACATCCCACACTTGCTGATGGATGTGCTCGTTTGCATTTTTATTGTTCAGAAGATACGCTCCTCCAAACGTGTTCTCATTTGATGTCGAATCAAGCTACCCATTTGTGTTCTATCATCAAGCCCCCTGAATGGGACGAACCTGGTAGCTTTGCAAACTGTAATTTTAGCCTGATTTGCCCTACTGGGAATGGTAAAGAGTCATCTTCTCATTATAACGGGTGAAATAATGAGTCACGGTGGGAGAAAGGGGAAGAAGGAACAGCAGCTGGAGGGTGGAAGGAAGTATGGTTAAGGATGGTGAGGTCATTTTGTAGCTACCTCTTGAATACTTTACTCAAGAAATGCCTAGAAAATATTAGAGAGAGCTTGAAGAGAAGATTTGAAGGTGAACGAAACTGTGGTCAGAGACATTAGTTGGACTGAAAGTTTTCACTTTCTTTGACTAAATACATAAACTTAAAATAATATTTTCCTGCTGGTATAAAATTGTTTTTAAAAAGGGATGTTAAACAGCTTTTAAATGGAATTAGATCCTCAAAATTCTTACTTTATTTTTTATTTTCCTTCCCTAATCCATGAATATACCACATCTAAGTGGCTATATGCATTAGCAGTAGTATGCTGAAGCTTTAACTGAGTAATAAAAAAAAATCAGATTTAGTTATTTTTAATTTATTTTGATATTTCTATTCTGTTTGACATTAAAGCCAAAAACTGTAGAGAGCTACAAAACACATTTATTCTCTTAAATAGTTTGATGGACACAAATGTAAACCAGAGAAATTGCATTTCCTTCAAAATTGCAGTGTAAATGCTTATTGCAGAAGAACTTGCTGAAAAACAGCTGAAATTATGGTAGCTTAAAATACAAGCTGAAATGTAGCTGAAATAGAAGAACTAGCCTAAATTAGCAGAAGAAAGCAGAAATAACACATATTTGCTGAATTAAATTTAAATAAGCAAAAATGAGCACAAAAAAGAGGAAATTAGCTAAAAAATGCTGAATTTAGGGAAAATAGCTGAAAAGTAGCTGAAAATGCAGAAAGAAGCTTAAACTATTGGAAGAAAGCAGAACGTGATGAATTGAGTTTAAAAAAATGTGGAAGTAACTGAAAAAAGCTAAAATTAGCATAAAACAGCTATATAGTAGCTGAAATAGTAGAAAATCTGAAAATTAAAAAAAAAAAAAAAGAGCTGAAATAAGTATAACAAGCTGAAATTACCAGAGTAGCCGAAATTGCCAAGAAAAACTTGAATTTTTCTGAAAACGGCTAAAATTAGCTAAAAATGCTAAAGATGTAGCTGAAAAGGTAAAACAAGCTTAAATTATCAGAAGAAAGCAGAAAGAACATGTTTGCCCAGTTAGGCTGAAAAAAGCAGAAATTAGCACAAAAAGTGGAAATTATCTGAAAAAAGCTTAAACTGGCAAAAGAAAACCAGCTGAAAAGTAGCTAAAAATAGCAGAAAGAAGCTTAAATTACCAGAAGGAAGTTGAGAGAGCATATTTTTGCTGAAATAGTCTGAAAGAATGAGTGCAAGAAATGTGGAATTTGCTGAAAAAGTTAAAACTAGCATAAAAAACATCTAAATAGCAGCTGAGATAGCAGAAAAAGCTGAAACTTGCATAAATAAGCTGAAAGGAGCAGAAAGAAATGAGAAGAAGCTCAGAAATGTTGTAGTTAGCAGAACAAATCTGAAAAGAGCACAAAACGGCTGAAAAACAGCTGAAATTAGCTGAAAAAAGTTTAAATTTGCACAAATAAGCTGAAAGAAGCTGAGCTAGGACAAAAGGTGAAAGGAGCAGTGAAAGGTTGTAAACAGATCTAAAGATCTGAAGGATGGAAAATGAGCTCAGTTCATTTTCTATGAGAAGAAAAGTGGCAGAAAAGGCTAAATATTTCAAAAAGCTAAAGTTGCACCAGTACTAAAAGTCATAGGATTGTCCTGAAAGAGCTGAATGTTTTGATTTATGATTTGATGAAATAACTTGAAAACTGCAGGATGAGAAACGTGCGGAAGAAAAATGGATCACAACAGTGTGAATGCTTCACAAACATTCACACAATTATTTTTAAATTTTGGTCCGGTCACGTAAAGAAAATTGATTGCCTTGTACTTTGACATACTTTAATATTTTTTAGTAATAAAATATAAAAATGTTTAGCTAAAAAGGGCTGAACGTTAGTTTCTACAAATCTCTCCAACAAAGCTGGAGAATTCTTATTTATATTAGTTTTCGGCAACAAAGCAAGTTGTTCCCTTTAGTTGTGGAGGTCATTTAAATAAAGACAGTTGTTTATAACAGAATCACTTTTCACAAGAAATAAATCCTTTCATTGAGCTATAAAAGCACCAACACATTTATCCATGTCGGTAAATTATCTTTTTTTTTGTCTTGATGCAGAGTGAAAGCAGCCCTGACAAAGCAAGCCATCTATCAGACGATGAAAGATGGGACACACCTCCACCCAAACCACCTCGCATCCGCAGGTAACACAAAGATAATCCTTTAGACTCGTTTAATTATATTATATATGCTCCTTTTTTCTCTTCTCGTTACATTTGATCCTGGAAACACCGAACTGAGCAATGCTCAGGGGGTGGGGAGTAGGTGTGAAGTGCTACTGAAATATAGCAGAGGTCGTGTTCTGTTAACGCAACAACAAAACAATCACCGTTCAGCCAGTTTATTTGGAGCGCACAATAAAACCATAGACTGCTGCTCAAACAAAAGCAGCAGGGGTTGTTTTCATTAGTTTGTTGCATCTTTGCTCCGTTTCAGCCCACAGATGCAGTTGGCCTTCAGGAAAGTTAACTTCTTTTAACAATGGCCCGAGGAGGAACTGCATTTATATAACATTTTGCAACACTGCATGCCGAACACACCACACAGCTAGTTGAAGTGGAACTGTTTATATCTTTTTGAGAACAATATCGTCCACGCACACATTCCTCATCATTTCTTCTCTGTTCAATATTCTTGTTTCCGTTTGTTTCTCCTTCCCTCACTTATTTTACTTTAGTTATGCAGTTTGTGCCCAGCAGGAGTTGTGCTTCACTTCTCACAATTTTACCACAGAAGGCACCTCCTCATCTGATGCAGAACTTGACAGCTTTTAACAAGGTTGATGGATGCTTCAGAGTTGCCTCACTCTCCTGGTTTAATGTCACAGGGGGGGGCATCTTGTTGCCAGGAGACGCTGTCTCACTTTTGCTGGACGCATTGTCAAGAAATGTTTAGTTTGGCAGTGATTTGTGTGGTTACGGTGTGAGCTGCAGACCATTTGATCATGTTGTGAAGACGTTATTTATACAGTGGACTGCAAGCAGCGTAAAATGAGTTGGAAACGGCTTACAACAATTAATCCAGCTGTTAACAGAAGTTGACCAAAAATGTAGTTCAATTAATGAAATGTGGATGTGTGTGTTTGCACAACTTTGACACTTTAAAACAATTATTTAGTCCACTAATACCATATTATTTCAAACTGAACACAAGTACCGTTACTTGCATTTGAGTACTTATCTTATAGTACTTATATGTTACTGCTAATAAGTACTAATACATGCTATTACACTTCTTTCATTTAGTAGAACCTCTAATTCTAATTTAATCCATTCTAAAATGTATATATATGTATGTTTAAAATATGTATTCTAGCTAATTTTATTGATTCAAATATATAGTTCCAATACCAGTGCACGCTACCGGTCATTTTTAGAACAATAGAGGAACTATTCCCATCTAATAACATTTCTAAAAGTTGAAATATAAACAATATTAAGAAAACAACAAGGCAATGAACGGATTTTACACGCACCTCATTTGGTTGTTCATAATTTCAATTTCCTGCTGCTAAGAACTGGAACATTCACAACAAATTCTAAAACTTTATTTCTTTTGTCCCATTTACTTGGTTTAAAAACTGAGTGAAAGCATCACTTGATGACCCCTGCACATGCTTTTAGCATTTTCCTCCTTATTCTCTGTTATCGCTCTCTGAATCCTGTCCTAGCTCTTTCCTTTTACATGGTCTATACAACTTGATGTTTGATTGTCAGTTGTTTATATGTTGTCCGTCTCGTGTTCTCCCACTCCGGTATTTGCTGCCTGTTGTAAACTGGAATTTGTTCTCACTGACTAACCTGGTTAAATATAGTTCAAATAAAAAATATAGTCCTTTTTCCATTCATCATGATGATATGTTCATGGTATTGTTTTGCCTGAGACTGAACAGAGAGATTATTGTAAAACTCTGGCTCAGATCCGTAAATTCCCCAGGCCCTGGCCTCTTCTCCTCAAATGTTCCTTTTAAAATACTTCCACATGGCTTTTTATTCTCCTGGTAGTGTTTATTGGCAGTTAACTAACAACCCTATGGTTCATTACCACCACAAGAAGTGTGTAGCACAGTTTCAGACCCATACCCAGTTCTGTACTGGTGCACTAGTTGGGTCTTCATGGACGTATCAGCTGATATGATGGAGACGTAAGAATTTTGAATTTACACCAAATTAACTCGACAATGAAAACATTGCTTTTAAGAATCAAAAGTTTAAACACGCCAACCCAAATTTTTGAAGCACCTTGCAGTGAGATGTTTCATGACGTGCTCAAAGTTTCGTTCCCTTTAACCAAACTAAAATCATTGTCTTCTCCTGGTTGCCTTATTTATTTTATTTTTTTTAACCTACTGCTTCGATGGGAAACATTTTCCAGAAGTTCTAACTTTAGCCTGTAGCGGCAAGGGTTTTGTTTACTGCATAGTTTCTTTCCTGTTCTTAGTAAAACACACAAACTTGAACTCTGAGATGCTGCCAAGATTGCTTGCTTTCCTGGAAGTGGGACAGAAGAGACTCTCTGGACTGTCTGGGTGTCTCTTATGCCATTTGTCTTCTCTGGATGTCTTCGTTTGTGTCCTCTATTCTTTGTGCCATCCCTCCTTTTCTAAAAAGTAAAGTGAAGGCCTCGTTTTAAGCCTGGGAGTAATCTGTTGATGGCGGGAGCTATTTTTATCTAGATAAGCCACTTTCTGCTGGACAAACTCCCTTTGGTCACTTCAGTGGAGTGTGTGTGTTGTTGTTGATGGAAAGATGGAGGGAGATACGGCAGGAAATCCAGAAAGATTGTATACTGAGTCGCAGCTTTGTCACATACACACGAACAGCCTTCAAGCAGTCCTCAGTAGGGCTTGAGCTCTGACTGAAAATGTGTTTGTAGCATCTTTAAGTTTTTTGAAGTGATGTTGTTTTTACTTCAAAGGCCACTATCATCTAAGCATGTTTGATAAAAAGCATGTGGTAAAACAGGTCGAGTGTGCGAAGCTTTGTTGATTCTCTGGGTGAATCTGTCCTCAAAGCTGAGGAGCGTCTTAATGCTTCTCTTCTGAGGGATCACATATTCAGTGACAGCATGCAGGAGCTGCTGTGACACAGGGTAAATGTTCAACACTCCTCTCAGGAGGACAAAAATGAAGCTACGAAGTAAAATGTGTACACGACTTTTAGGCTATTTGTGTGTATGATCGGATGTATGGATTAAAGTTCTAGTTAGTGTTGGTTTTTATGCGTGTTAAGTAGGCCTGTTGTGATAAACAATAAATCAGTTAAGATAAATGAAAATTATCAACCTCATTTTCATTTATCAGCTTTATCGTTTCTTCGTGTCTCTCTTTCTACTGAAGACACTAGATGATAAAAGGCTCAACTCCAGTGCTCTTCACTGACCCCGCCCTTTCTCTTTAAAATTAATTTTAACCGTCCAAAATTGCGTTTTTGGATCGTTAAAAGTAGCTAAGCTGGGAAGCTAAGCTACGAGCTAAGCTAACAGGCCGACCTCGGCAAAAAACCTCAATCTTGTCAAAGCTCCAAAATTCTAATGCAATGCTCAAGATCAATGCTAAAGAGCTCAAATCACACCGAGCGTCCTCCATTTTGAGAACTGAAGAGAGACAGCGCATGTCACGTCAAGGGACCTCCCTCCCATTTCTCTTAAAGAGATACGTTGCTTGCTCCCTCACTATCCATCCTTCGGTTCAAACTCTTATACTGCCATCCTGTGGTTGAAAAAAGGTACTACACGCAAAACAAATTAACAAACATCCATCCATCCATTATCTTTTACCCGCTTCTTCCATTTTGGGTCACGGGGGTCACCGGTGCCCATGTCCGGCAATCCCTGTGTGAGGGGCGGGGTACACCCTGGACAGGTCGCAAGTCCATCACAGGGCCACATAGAGACAAACGAGACAACTATTCACTTTCTCACTCACACCTAGGGACAATTTTAGAGTTACCAATCAGCCTAACATGCATGTTTTTGGTCTGTGGGAGGAACCCGGAGTACCCGGAGAAAACCCACGCATGCACGGAGAGAACATGCAAATTAGACCCAGAAAGGCCCGCGGACCTGGATTTGAAAATTAACAAACATTTCTTCTTAAATTTGACAATAATTTCTAATTATTGTCAAATTTCAAACGGTATTATCGTTTATCGCTATAATTTCCGAGACAAATAATTTCCCAGCAAAATTTGTTATCATGACAGGCCTAGTGATAAGATCAAAATAATGTTGTTTAATTTAGACTACAGGTGGACAATTTATTATTTTTTTCTAAAATGTCAAATACAGAAATAGGACTTTTGCAGAGGGTCGGAACAACAGACTGAATTTAATTCTGCCAATTTTAAATTTTCTAGTTATCTATAGAATATATTTTGCTTTAGCTTCTAATAGTAGGCAACTCAACAGGACGTTTCAACATCAGAGCCAATTACAAATTTACATATGTAAATAAATAACATTTACAAAAACATGAATGTAAAAATGTTCATGTTTGGTAGTATTTCAAACACGAGCATCAAGTTACCAACATAAAATAGGTTTCTTTTATATTTATTTTTGTCTCCAGTAAATGAAAACAAGTTTTTGTTGAATTCGAACACCGACATCATGTTTCATGCCTGAAGTATATGTACAGACCAGCTGCAGGTGATAGTCAGTGAGAGGATCTTTATTTTTGCTGCTAAATTCAGTAAACATGTCTTTTTTTAAAACCTTCATTCTGTATTGCCTTGTATATTTACTTTGTGCAGACATCTGTAACACACAGAAGGCTGCTAGCCTATGCATCCACTCCCCTTCAGAATAAAAGCCCTGCAAAAGCCAGCTTTAGATTGAAAGCGGAGATGTTAGATTTGCGTGCAGAATGATTTTCAGTATTTTTGATTTCTGATTTGTTATTGACTGCTCGAGCTGTAAGATACATGTGTTTTAGACAAAATGTTTGTCTACTTTTAATAGCTTGTAGGGCTGCACAATATTGGATTTTTGACTGATATACGATATGCCAATATGTTAAAACTTATTTGGCCGATAACCGATACCAATAAAGATATTTTTATTCCTAGACCTATTTACAGAGACTACATAGCTTTCTCTGCTGTGGAATTAAAATACTACATTATTTTGCATGGTATTTGTCAATTTGGCCTGCTACCAAATTCAGATGAAAAAAAAGGGGGCTGAAAAGAAATTGATGTAACACTTCAACTTGTATTATGTTTAATGACAAATTTATTCATGACATTTAGCTTCTCTAACACAATGACAACACTCAGTCGTACAAAAACAGTGTTTTTCATATATACTATATATATGTAAAATGCCTTTTATATTGGCGAGTTATTTTGATGGAATGGCCGATGTTCGATATTTAACTTTATCGCTAATATCGGCCGATACCAATACCATGCCGATAATATTGTGCATCCCAAGCTTTTATAGCAAATAGCACCTGTATTTCAAAACAACTTTACTGTATTGAATAGCTAGATAGATAATAGCAAAAGTGAGTTCAGATTAAAAGTTCTTGTATCTTTTAGGGTAACTCAATATTTTAAGCTAGCAGCGTAATAATATTTCTACCGGCACTCTTTAAATCACTTGATGTAAACTCTTGCAATGCGTATACGTACAGTATTTACATTTCAGTGAACTTGTCTTAGTGCTGTAGTTATTTCTTGCTTCCTTTTCCATTTTTTTTTAATTGTGATGCTGCTCTTTTTTTTCTTTCTGTGCCTTATTCGTGTTTGCTCAGTCCCCTCTTCAGATGAAACTTTAATAATTCCTAAGTTATCTCTTGGATCCTGATAAATCTGAGTCATATCTGAATATTGGAATCCCCGTTGAAGCCAGCAGGAGTCATCGTTGTTATTGTCAAAACATACTTCTTGTTCAGACAGTAAAGATAATGCAAAAAGGAGAAATATATATATATATATATATACAGATATATATATATATATATATATATATATATATATATATTGAAAACAAAGGGATAGTGTTTAGCCTGGAGGGCTAAACTTGCCACTAAGTGATTTATAGGAAGCAGCATGACGTGGTTAAAACAACTGCTGTAGCTTTATTCAAACCTAATATAAACTACATTTCTCTGTTAAGGCAGATTTTGACCTCTGACCCTATTCACTGGAAATGATAAAAGTTATAAACTTATTTTTATTGCCTGCAGCTAAAAGATCTGTCTGTTTGCAAATTATCCCCTAAACCACTGCAAGGATTTTAATGAAAGTTCAGAAATTAATTGCTGGATGTACATCTATAACGGATTAAGTTTTGATGTTAATCCAATTGAAAGTGGCCACCACATGAAACAACACAAAAAGGCTGTAACTACACTTTGATGTGGTAGTAGCCAAGAGTCATTCACAAAACATAGTGTGAGTGTGACATCTCGCAATATCACATCAGATGGCTACGTAATAACATTATTTACACAGTTTGACCAAAATAGCAGCAATGCCACCATTTCAACATAAGATTGTCATATTGTTTATTAATAAAAAAAAATAATTAAATAAAAACTATGGTAATTACTTAAAGAGATGCTTCTGCCAGTTCTGGTCAAAACCAATGGATCACAACTTCTTTCAAAGAATAAGCCAATGACGCTGCTTAATGACAAAAGCTTTTCCAGTTTGACTGCAACACTAAAAAGAAAAGGAAATCCCCCCATCCTTTGAGCTCCTTGTGTCTGAATCATCCGTCTGCCTTTGATCCACACTGCAGCTCCTGCTTCAGTCATGTGCTCTCGAATTAGCACAGCACCACTTCCATTCTGTTTCTCTGCATCTCTGCGTACATACAGTGTCTTGCGAAAGTATTCGGCCCCCTTGAACTCTTCAACCTTTTGCCACATTTCAGGCTTCAAACATAAAGATATAACATTTTAATTTTTTGTGAAGAATCAACAACAAGTGGGACACAATCGTGAAGTGGAATGAAATTTATTGGATGTGTCAAACTTTTTTAACAAATCAAAAACTGACAAGTGGGGCGTGCAATATTATTCGGCCCCCTTGCATTAATACGTTGTAGCGCCGCCTTTTGCTGCAATTCCAGCTGCAAGTCTCTTGGGGTATGTCTCTGTCAGTTTTGCCCATTCTTCTTTGCAAAACAGCTCGAGCTCAGTGAGGTTGGATGGAGAGCGTTTGTGAACAGCAGTCTTCAGCTCTTTCCACAGATTCTCGATTGGATTCAGGTCTGGACTTTGACTTGGCCGTTCCAACACCTGGATACGTTTATTTGTGAACCATTCCATTGTAGATTTGGCTTTATGTTTTGGATCATTGTCTTGTTGGAAGATAAATCTCCGTCCCAGTCTCAGGTCTCTTGCAGACTCAAACAGGTTTTCTTCCAGAAGGGTCCTGTATTTGGCCCCATCCATCTTCCCATCAATTCTGACCATCTTCCCTGTCCCTGCTGACGAAGAGCAGGCCCAAACCATGATGCTGCCACCACCATGTTTGACAGTGGGGATGGTGTGTTCAGGGTGATGAGCTGTGTTGCTTTTACACCAAACATATCATTTTGCATTGTGGCCAACCAGTTCGAATTTGGTTTCATCTGACCAGAGCACCTTCTTCCACATGTTTGGTGTGTCTCCCAGGTGCTTGTGGCAAACTTTAAACACTTTTTATGGATATCTTTGAGAAATGGCTTTCTTCTTGCCACTCTTCCATAAAGGCCAGATTTGTGCAGTGTACGACTGATTGTTGTACTATAGACAGACTCTCCCACCTCAGCAATAGATCTCTGCAGTTCATCCAGAGTGATCATGGGCCTCTTGGCTGCGTCTCTGATCAGTCTTCTCCTTGTTCGAGATGAAAGTTTAGAGGGATGGCCGGGTCTTGCTAGATTTGCAGTGGTCTGATACTCCTTCCATTTCACTATGATTGCTTGCACAGTGCTCCTTGGGATGTTTAAAGCTTGTGAAATCTTATTGTATCCAAATCCTACTTTAAACTTCTCCACAACAGTATCTCGGACCTGCCTGGTGTGTTCCTTGGTCTTCATGATGCTCTCTGCGCTTTGAACAGAACCCTGAGACTATCACAGAGCAGGTACATTTATACGGAGACTTGATTACACACAGGTGGATTCTATTTATCATCATCAGTCATTTGGGACAACATTGGATCATTCATAGATCCTCACTGAACTTCTGAAGTGAGTTTGCTGCACTGAAAGTAAAGGGGCCGAATAATATTGCACGCCCCACTTTTCAGTTTTTTATTTGTTAAAAACGTTTGACACATCCAATAAATTTCATTCCACTTCACGATTGTGTCCCACTTGTTGTTGATTCTCCACAAAAAAAATCAAAATTTTATATCTTTATGTTTGAAGCCTGAAATGTGGCAAAAGGTTGAAAAGTTCAAGGGGGCCGAATAATTTCGCAAGACACTGTACAGCATGTAAATGCATGTTTAGAGGAGTGGAGTGGCGTGCGACTTGTGGGTAATTCACACCGACGTCTGAGTTTGTAGGTGTATTTTAGGTGCATCTCTGAGGCGCTGCACATGTGATATACTTGTTAAACTGTTAAGTAATCACACTTTGATTTATAGAAGTCATGGTGTTTAATATGTACCCTAGCCAGCTATATTGTTACTGCCTGTGCATTTTGACTTCTGGAAAGAAGTTATTGGAGATACATCTTAATTTTATTTTTCAGTTTAGATAAATATGTCTACAGCTGAAGTGCACTTTTATGCAGATGACACCAGAGTTGGCTCTACTTTAATTCAGGCTATTTAAGAAGCTCAAACTGCATTTAAGTATCTGCAGACAGTACTATACAGCTTAAAGTTGCTGCCAAATGTGCATAAAACTTATTTAGTTATTTTTAAAAGTCACTCCCAGAACCCATATAACATTTGCATTTCTATCCTAGGATACTTTATTGAAAGAGTATCATTTTTAAATTATTAATACATTTTTTTTTCTGGATGATTGTCTTTGTTTTAAAATCTATATTGTGCTGAAAAATAGCTTGGACTTTTATCACCAAAATAAAGCCCATTTTAATTTATTAATCAGAAAAATATGTTGTTTGGGCTACTTTTTAAATGTTCTTGATTTCTGTAACATCATTTCATGCTGCTTCCTTT